TTGAGGGTGGGACGCGAGATGGGCATCGCGAATCTGATGCACGAAGGCGTCTACATTTGCTGTTGCGGACCGAACTACGAAACACCAGCTGAGGCTCGAGCGCTCAGTCTCCTGGGAGCCGACGTGGCAGGTGAGACGCCAAATGCGGCCATTATGCTTTCATCGTGCCTTCTCATCTGACCTAATCTGGTGCATTTTCACACTCTAACATCATTTTAGCGGTGTCGTTTGTGAAGATGTGCCAAAGGTTTCTACGCATTGCTGATCACATCAAATTTTGGGTAGTTGTAATGTGGCGAGATCATTTTTCGTAGATGGCAGAAGCACTGACTTTCGACTGTGCTGATGCCCCCTTTGTAATAAATTTATTTAATTACAATGGTTTCTTTAGATGATTTCATGCTTAATACTAATATTCACAAGTAGATACCAGAAGTTGCCTCTCATCACTTTGGTTCGTGTTCCTCCTCTCCTGAGACCATGAATTTGGTTTTGTCCGTGTCGAAGTAGCCGCCTCCATCGAAAGGATAAACTGCGCTTCTGGAGATCTCCCGGAATTGACAGTGACTTAATCGATGATTTACTGAGCGATGCGAATCCTCACATTACCACTGCTTAGATTGCTGAAACAGTACAGGGTGGTGATTTGAGCTAGTGTAAAACAGCTTGGGTGCCTATTTAAACCCGACACATGTCGTTCGTACTTTATTACATAGTAGATCATCCTGTACAGTTTACACGGTAAACTCACTCTCTCTCCACAATTTGACGAGGCGAACCTGTCATGTGAAACTGTGGAGTTGCACTTTAGGCAGCTCACCCAACTCCGTGTTGACATCCAAGCAAACCCTCCAAATTCCTTGTTCGGAAAAGCATCATCTTTCACCATGACAACGTGAAGGAACAGGTCTCTCAATAGACACTAAAAAAATGCGAGGTTACCAGTCACCCCAACCCTTGTCGAATACTTGATTTCACCGAAGAATTCGAGGACACATCTCCAGTTGTGTTGGAGGCAAACTACGCATTTCACTAATTACTCTCAATCTCTTTTAACCCAAACAGGCATGAGCACAACGGCCGAGACCATTGTGGCGCACCACGCCGGCATGAAGGTGCTCGCCTTGTCGCTCGTCACCAGTCAGGAGATCCTGGATAACGACAGAGAGGAGAAGGTCAATCACGAGGACGTCCTCGAGACGAGTCTGCAGCGTGTTGAGACCATGACCTCGCTCATCACCAGGGTGCTTGCTGCCCTCTAGAGCCTGCTTTTTTTGTAGACTGTCCGTGATTGAACAGATGTGGACAGTATTTTGCTACACGTCAATCTGCGACATGCCCTCAGTGTAAATTTGACTAGAACGTGCTTTGAATTATTTGCGTTGCATGCTTCACCATTTACCCAATAAAACAATCTTTCCATGTCGGTGAATTGTGCCAGGTCGCAATCTCTCGAAGACTGGGACAGGGGAAATTAAGGGTTGAGCGAATGTCGCACAATCAGAGTGAAAATCCAACCATAACTGCTTTCAAATGCAAAACTAAGGTTGTGGGACGATGTAGGGCTTATCCTTTGTGGTAGCATTGTGGATGTCTGTCTATGGGCAAATTTTCTACAACCCATTCACTAGGGACCGTGTGCAAGCTGATCATTTGCGTAAGGAAGTGGAATGTGTTTTGCATTACCAACGCGACCACAACTGTGTAGCCAGTGCATCTTTCACCTTCTTGGCAACAGGTCGGAACAAACCACTAAGACGACGTAATTTCACCGTAACTTGACCAATGGCCATCCAGTTAGTCTGCTGTAGGACACGACTTTGAACAACATCATCGTCAGAGAGAGACCTCAGCGCTGCCTTGGTCAGTTTCCGGTTCAGCCTTCTTCTTGAATTGTCATCAGTCCACGCTAGTAGTTCGCACAATGCAGTTTACTTTCTCGGCGCATCAATTAATTTATCGAAGTCCTTTGCCGAAACCAGTCGGTTCTTCGTGGTTTGGATTGATTCTAAGTAATGGACTGAGCCAAGCATCCATTCAGCTCAAGTCAAAACGTCTAGCAAACTTTGCTGAAGCAATCGCACAACCATCAGCATACAAATGACCACCACAGACGACACTGACATCGACGGTGTCTGCGTCTGCGACGGGGCTGACGGTATGTGATCCAACGGCACCCGACGTCCTACAGAAGACTACCACAGATTCCAGACTTCAGTGGAAAATGGCTGCATCCTAGGTAAGTGGCTGAGCCTTCCCTTATTACAGACCTTTAACAATACTTCCAGTAACGAGAGTCCATTTGTGGTGTTGACGAAGAGTTGATGTTGAGATAAAACGGCGTAGTGCCCGAAACGGATTGGTTACATCAACTCCATTATCATGCCTTGGCCATTGACCAATAGAAATCCACTGGTTCAAGCATGATCTTTAAGTTGCTAATAAACCGCAAATGATCAATTTCCCCTAGCACCGTTCTTGCTACTAGCAAGACGCCACGAATCCTCTTCAAACTGTAGACTTTCCTTGGCGTCAGTCACGGAATATCTTGTCCGTCAAGCACTTTGCCTTCCACGATGTATTGGTGTGAATTTGGACACCAAAAATGTTGTCCCAGATTTTCTGCCAGCATGAAATGCCAGTGACATCGCCTTAAGACAATGGCATACAATGTGACCGCTTTCAATCGATTTCTATTCAAGGCAGCAGCCTTCAAGCATGCATGTTCCATTCGCTTCCACACAAAGTCCAGTGGGATGGCTAAGTGGCTATTCGACAAATGCGGGCAGACGTTGCTTAAATCGCAAGCTAAAAGACCCGACACACATCAAGATCGTATTATACAGCCTTCCTCATTAGTAAAGAACAAATTTAACTAAAGTGCTTCCACATCAAGATTCATCGTCCGGGTAATCACTGGCCGCCAATTGTGTACGACAACGCTAGACATTCCTTGAGCACCGCATGCGAGAATAAGAGTCCACAGGTAGAATGAGGTAAGTAATTGAAGTTGGGGATATCTGTGCACTCTCAGCACCACGAATTGCGACTTGAACCACGTCTCGAATACAGTAACACTCACAGACAGGGAAAAGTATGCTCGGAGTGACGGTGCGTTATGACATGTGGGCGAGACATTGCAACTGTCTGTGGCGAAATTAAGCATTGGAGACACCCAACTGGCAGATTGCAATTCCTCGGATCTTGCTATTCAACACAATTCAGCTGCTGACTTCAACATCCGAGGCATCAGTGTAAGTATTGGACGGTGGCCAAGTAAGAGTGAATGAGTCAATCCATTCAATGCGGTGTAGTCGCACTCACCGACTACTAACTGACCCGAAGAAGATTAGGCGTTTACTTGTTGAAAGGTGGAGGGTGATTAGACAAGTCGGCACTCGCCCAAAACTATCTTGGCCCAAAAACTAGTTTTGCGTTTTTACTCCGTCCTCAATTCCAGAACAAACGCTTTGTGTGTCCTCATGCATCCTGCGGCATCTTTCAAAGTTGTTCTGGGCATTGCCAAAGAAGCAGACTTTGTCGCGCTCCGCAATCTTTGCTTGAAACAGTCTAACCACTCTCTGCTGACGTCTTGTGCTTACAGAGGGAGATATTGCATGCATTGGACAAGTGATTTTTGAAACGGGGCTCTTGGTGTATGCTTTGGTTTCTGGCAGATGTAGCTGAATCATGCGATATTGCATTTCGTTTGACGGAACACAGTGGCTAGTAATGACTGCAACGGATCACGGTAACACTCACGGAAGCCGCAAACAAGGAATGTGGGCAA